CACATACAAACAAAGATGTTGTGTCCGCCGAAAACTAAAAAATAAATATTAAAAAATTCTCTCTCTCTCTCACTCTCACTCTCTCTTTAAAAAAAAAAAAAAAAGGACTGGGGATGGGGATGTAGCTAGGTAGTAGAATACCACTGGGTTCAATCCGTAGTACGGTAAATAATAACTTTTATATGTATACATGTTGTCTATATGTATGTTTATATTTGCGTATGTATGTGTGTTTAAAAGAGTTTAAAACTAATATTTTTTCACAACGTTAACGTAGGTGATGCCATGGAAAGCGGAAAGCCTGGTCCAGTGCAAGTTGTTTTGGTTCAGAAAGAGCAGCATTCCTTTGAGCTAGAAGAAAAAGCCTTGGCTAGCATTCTTCTGCAGGACCATATCCGAGATCTCGATGTCGTGGTTGTGTCAGTGGCTGGTGCCTTCCGAAAGGGCAAATCCTTCATTCTGGATTTTATGCTGCGATACTTATATTCTCAGGTAAGGGATAATTAGTTTATCCCATATGATGAGAAATGAGACTTTTATGTCCAAAAAAGCAAAATAAGCTCTTGAATTATCCTTGAAGTGTAAAATTACTTGTTTTCGATTTAATTGAGGCCCAGGCTGTGCTACAGGCTATGCTTGTATTCCCAGCAACTCTGGAGGTTGAGGCTAAGGATCACAAGTTCTAGGTCAGCCTCAGCAATTTAGTCTTAGGTTGCTTAGATCTTGTTTCACACACATACAAAAAAAAAAAACGTCCGGGACTGTGACTCAGTGGTAAAAGGTTCCTGAGTTCAATCTCTGGTTACTCCTGTCCCCCTCCCCCGAAAAAAAAAAAGATTTAGTGGAGGGGTCTTGGGTATAGCTCAGTAATAGAGTGTTTGCCTTGTATCTATGAGGTAAGGTCTTGGGTTTGATCTCCAGTAATGAATGGGGAAAAAAATGGCAAATTAATGGAAATGTCTTATTTCTCCTTTAGAAGGAAGGTGGCCATTCAAATTGGTTGGGTGACCCAGAAGAACCATTAACAGGATTTTCATGGCGAGGAGGCTCTGACCCAGAAACCACTGGGATTCAGATCTGGAGTGATGTTTTCACTGTGGAGAAGCCAGGTGGGAAGAAGGTAAGGATGAAAACAAAAAAACAAAAAGAAAAGAAAAACAACAAAAAAGTGAACTTTAAGTATACTGTGTTAATTCATTTAAAAAATACTATTTTTAATCAAAGTGTTGTAAGTGTATGGTTTAAAAATAACATGTGGACATAATGTGTAAAAGTTCAACTACATGATTCTTCTGTAAGGTTTCTAACAGGAAGTAGCTGTCAATGTGTTGTTCTTCCCTCTCCCACTAGAGGCTTCCCTCACTTTCTAGAGGCTTTGCTTTCACTATTAAGAATGTTACCTCTATTTTTTACTTCTTGTCCCTGTTCATGTCATGAGTGGCACATACCTGCTACCATTGTTGTGAGAACTGATTAGTGAGATAGCCTGGAGAAGGTGGGCATTCACTCCCCAGCCCTAGTAAGCTTCCCATCTGGTGGCATCCATACCTAATAAGCTGCAGTTGCAGAGTCTCTTCACAACTTATATGATTGGGAGAGCAGGTCTTGTATTTCTTACACTGACTTTATACCATTCCTTGTTTTTAGCCCTATGCCTTCGTAGCTGTTTGTGCCTGAGTCTTTCCAGACTCAGAAGATTTCACATCCCCTTTCTGGTTGTTCAGTTTCAACCTTTCCCTAATCTAAGTTCTAATTTAGGATTGGGAGCTGAAGAGTTGATACACAATTTTTTTGTTTTTGTTTTTGGGTACTGGGGGTTGGACCCAGTTACGCTTTTCTACTGAGCCATATTCCTAGCCTTATTTTTTTTGGTGGTACTAGGGATTGAACCCAGGGCCTTGTGCATGAAAGTCAAGCATGTTACCAGCTTAGCTATATTCCCAACCCCCCATTCCTAGACTTTAAATTTTTTTTTTTTTTTAATTTTCATACAGCGTCTCACTAAGTTGCTTAGGGCTTTGCTAAGTTGCTGAGGCTGTCCTTGAATTTGTAATCCTTCTGCCTTAGTTTCTTTCTTGAGTTGCTGGGATTACAGGTATGTAACACTTTGCCCAAGTGATACACAATTCTTTTTTTTTTTTTTAAGAAATTTATGTAAATTTTATTTGTTGACTTTTTTTTTTTGTACCGAGGATTGAACTCAGGAGCACTTGGCCTCTGAGCCACATCCCCAGCCCTATTTGGTATATTATTTTGAGACAGGGTCTCACTTAGTTGCTTAGTGCCTTGCCATTGTTGAGGCTGGCTTTGAACTTGCGATCCTCCTGCCTCAGCCTTCCAAGCTGCTGGGATTACAGGCATGTGCCACTGTGCCTGGCCACAATTCTTTAAAAAAAAAAAAATTTTTAATAGTAAATGGACACTGAATACCTTTGTTTTATTTTTATGTGGTGCTGAGCATTGAACTCAGTGCCTCACACATGTGAGGCAAGCACTTTACCACTGAGCTACATTCTCAGCCCTATGACTATTGATTCTTAACATTTTGGGACATTTCTAGGAAGTTAGTAGTAAGGAAGCTTTGTTTTTAATTTTTGATATTTGTAGGTCCTTCTTTTTTTTTTTTTAATCCTGTTGAATTGACTCTTATGAAGCTCCATGTTTTTTGTTATCATTTTGTTTTTTGCCTTTTAAAAATATTAATAGTTTTATAACCCGCGCCCTTTTTTTTTTTTTTTTTTTTTTAAACTAAGGATTGAACTCCAGGGGCATTCTACCACTGTATATCACCAGCCACCTTTTTTTTTTTTTTAACTTAAATTTTTTTTTTTTTTTTTTGTACTGGGGATTAAACTCAGGGGCATTTAACCACTGAACCACATCCCCAATCCTTAATTTTAAATTTTGAGACAAAATTTCTTGAAGTTTCCCAGGGTTACCTCAATCTTGTGATTCCCCTGCCTTAGCCTCCTGAATAATTGAGATTCTAGGCATAAATCACTGTGCCAGCAATAAACTTATTTTTTTTTTTAATTTTAAATTTTTAAAAATTTATTTAAATTTCTAGAAACTTTTTATTCTTATACATGACTAAACTTAATTTTTTAAAGCAGTTTTAGGTTTACAGGAAAATGATGTGGAAAGTAGAGTTCCCACACTTACGATTCTCTGTCAGTTACTCACTGATGTGTATGATATATTGATTACACTTTAATGAACCAGTCTTTATCTCTTGTCATTAATTAAAGCTCAGAGTTTACATTAGGGTTTACTCATTGTGTTGGACATTGTGTGGATTTTGACAAATGGATAATGGTGTTTTTCTACCATTTGGATCATATAGAATAAAAATTGCCCTAAAAATTCTCTAAGTTACCTGTTTTTTTCTCTCTCTTCTTTTGTCTCCCCAGATTTCAGACATCCACTGATATTTTTATTTTTTATTTATTTTTTGGTGCTGGAAATTGAACCTGGGGGTGCTTAACCACTAAACTACTCTCCAATCCTTTTTTATTTTTGAGATAGGGTCTCACTAAGTTGCTTGGGACCTGCTAAAATTTCTGAGGCTGGCTGTGAATTTGTGATCCTCCTGCTTCACCCTCCCAAGTCACTGGGATTATAGGTGTGCGCCACCACTCCCAGCTATATTTTTACTTATTCATAGTTTTGTCTTTTCCAGAATGTCATATAGTTGGACTCAAACAGCATGTAGCCATTTCAGAATGAATTCTTTCACTCAGCAATGTGCTTTTAAGGTTCCTCCATATCTTTGTATTTCTTGATAGCTTATTTTTATTGTTGAATATTTCATTGTATGGAGGTATCATCATTTGTTTATGTGTTTACCTGCTGAAGAACATCTTGGTTATTTCCAAATTTTGGCAGTTAAATCAATCAACCAATATCTATCTCTCTCTCCCTCTCCCCCTCTCTCTCTCCCTCTCCCTGTCTCCCTCTCTCCTATGATTGCTGAATTATTAATAGAGAATGTGTTTAGTGTTGTAAGAACCTGCCAAACTACTTTCAAGAGTGGCTGTACCATTTTGCATTTCTACCAACAATGAATGAAGGGTTCCTTTTACTCTACATCTTCACCAGCATCTGTTGTCAGTGTTTTGGGTTTTCATTATTCTAACAGATATGTAGTACTATCTCACCATTATGTTTCCTTCTCTTAATGTTAAAACTTTCAGCAGGATCAGGAATGCTTTATATTGGATATATGCCATATTGATGACAATTCTTTTTTTTTAAAATTTTTTTTTTAGTTGTAGGTGGATACAGTACATTTATTTATTTATTTATTTTTATGTGCCCCTGAGTATCGAACCCAGTGCCTCACATATTCGAGGCAAGCATACTGCAACTGAGCAACTAAGCTACAATCCCAGCCCGATAACAATTCTTTATATGTTAGCCAAAATAAAGTTTAGTATGATTTTCTTTTTTTTTAAAATACTCAGGGAGATTATAGCCTGGAAACTTAAGTGATTTAAAAAGTGGAGAATTCTTTTTATTTGTTTTTGCATTTTAACTAAGAGTCAACATCAGTAATTATTAAGATCTGGAATTTACATATTAAACATCCTAAGAATATACTACATTTCATAATTGTCATTGCTTCCTTTTCCTTTTTTATAATTTTTGTTAAAGTGAACATCCTGAAAATATCTTGTTGAGTAAAATTGCAATTGTGTCTTGAGGCCACAGCTTTTTAAAAAATTTTTTTGGCACTGGGGATTGAAGCCACGGGCACTTAACTACTGGGCCACATCCTCAGCCCTTTTTGTATTTTATTTAGAAACAGGGTCTTGCTGAGTTGCTAAATGCCTTGCTGAGTTGCTGAGGCTGGCTTCAAACTCTTAATCCTCCTGCCTCAGCCTCCCAAGCCGCTGGGATTATAGGTGTGCATTACCATGCCTGGCTGAAGCCACAGCTTTTTAAACTGTTAGTATTCTGTTAGAGGTAGAAAAATCAGTGTATTGGCTCATAACCAATATTTAAAACATTTTAAAGAACTAGAACAGAATAGAAATTTTCATAGTGGAGTGTGCATAAAAATCTGGTTTCAGCTTTTTGTACAGGTGTATTTATTTGATTATGGTATAAAGTATATTTCTCACGGTGGTTTCCAGCCAAAAACATTAGCCACTGTGAAGTAGAATTGCTGGGAGTGGGAAGGCTCATTTCCCCTTTTTTTTTTTTTTTTAATTTTTTTTTATATTTATTTTTTAGTTTTCGACAGACACAACATCTTTGTTTGTATGTGGTGCTGAGGATCGAACCTGGGCCACACACATGCCAGGCGAGCGCGCTACCGCTTGAGCCACATCCCCAGCCCATCATTTCCCCTTTCTTGAGAATACCCTTTATAGCTACTGACAGATGTTCTTGATAGTAGTTATAGCTGTTTACTGTTCATTATATGGTATGAGAATACCATTTCTTCCAACTCCTTCCCCTCAAAGAAATTTTCTTTAGTATTTCCCCTTGTTTGCTTTTTTTAGTATAGTTTTTCTAGTTAGCAAATGCATCCCAGGATTAACTCTTTTTTATTGAAATACAATTAACACTAGAAAATCAATCATCTAGAAGCTATTTATTTATTTATTTATTGATTGATTGATTGATTGATTGATGGTGCTGGAGATTAACTCTTTTTATTGAAATACAATTAACACTAGAAAATCAATCATCTAGAAGCTATTTATTTATTTATTTATTTATTGATTGATTGATTGATTGATGGTGCTGGAGATTGAACCCAGGACCTTGTGCATGCAAGCACTCTACCAGCTGAGAATATCCCCAGCCCCTATTTTGTGTTTTTTAATATACTTCTAAGCTGTGCAGGTATCACTACCATATAATTCTGGAACCTTTTCATTACATCAAAAAGAAACCCAGGGAGCTGGAGTTGTAGCTCAGTGGTAGAGCGCTTGCCTTGTACATGTGAGACACTGCCTTGTACGTGTGAGATGGCACCAAATATAAATAAGCAAATAAAATAAAGGTCCATCAACAATTAAAAATATATATAAAAAAAGAAAAAAAAAGAAACCTCAGTATCCATTAGCAGTCAGTCCCCATTTCCCTCTTCTGTCAACCACTGGCCACTACTACTATGCTTTCTTCATGACTCTGTGACATTTCACATGAATGAAGTGTTATGTGTTTTTTCATGTCTTCCCTCTTGTACTAGGCTCAGTGCCCTCATGGCTCATCTATGATGTAGTATGCATCAATATTTTACTCCTTCCATGGCTAAATAATACTCCATTTTATGAATATGCCACATTCTCTGTCATCAGTTGATGGAAATTTGGGTTGATTATACTTTCTGGCTATTGTGAATAATATGCTGCCTTGAACAGTTGTGTACAAGGTAGCTGTACCAACCTATTTTTCTCACTAGTAATACAGGAGGCTTTAGTTTTCATATCCTTGACAACACTTGATGCTATTTATCTTTTTTTGGGGGTACTGAGAATTGAATTCAGGGGAACTCAACCACTGAGTCACATCCCTAGCCATATTTGGTATTTAATTTAGAGACGGTCTCACTGAGTTGCTTAGTGCCTAGCTTTTGCAGAGGCTGGCTTTGAACTCACGATCCTCCTGTCTCAGCCTCCCAAGCTACTGGGAATACAAGCATGAGCCACAATTCCCGACTGAGGCTGTGCGTTTCATCATCAGTCCTGAAAAAAAAAAATCTGTTTTAATTGTGTAATCTTTAAGTTGTACAGTTTCTTATTTATTCTAGATACTAGTCCTTCTCATTGTGTGTTTGTGTGTGTGTGTTGCCTTTTTCACTTTTATTTTTTTTAGTTGTAAATGGACACAATATCTTTTTTTTTTTTTTTT